TCCTCTCTCTCTCTCTCTCTCTCTCTCTCTCTCTCTCTCTCTCTCTTATTCCCTCTCTTGCACCTGCGCACGCGCCCCATGCACGTGTCCGGTGCAGCTACGCTACTCATGCAGCAGCGCTTTGTGGCTCGTGCTTTAACCTCTTCTTTGGTTGATGTTGTTTATCCGTTTATGCTCTCACAACACTTTCTGGGGAGTGCCACACGCCTCGAGGTGGAGGAGTAGGGTGAAAACAAAAGGAAAACGGAGAGGCCACACACGCCAAAAAAAAAATAGACGTATATACTTGCTGTTGTGCCTGGCGTGTGTCTCCCATGTCTATAGATGCAGGGCAGAGGATGGGAAAACGGGGGGCACCACAGACTTTGAGGTTGGGTGTTGTGCTGCTTCTGGTCTTGCTCGCCGCCCTCACACTGACGCTGCCGGGCACCGAGGCAGGCGTGGGAGCGAAGGTTGTCTATAGGCTCTCTGTGATGAAGGGTAGAATTGTCTCAGAGGAGCGTGTGTATTGCAACGACACGCGTTTAGGTAGCGAGGTGAAAGAGAGTCGGTGCGCCAACGGCGTGGGTCGGCTGCAGCGCGACCCGCTCCTCGTCGATCTCCGCGCCCCGCCGGGCATCAGCCGCAGCTTTGACCCCCTCCTCCTCGTCGCGGTGTCGGTGAGCGACTGCGTGAAGAGCTGCGTCAACGGAGGCTGGTGCTTCAAGGGAGACGACGAGGAGCCGAGCGGTGACGGCACCAGTGCCCCACCCGTGCTGGGGCTGCACGTGGGTTCGCCCTGCTGCGGGGAAGGCTACGTGTCGTATGTGCTGGATGTCCCCTCACGCACGATAACGCAGTACGAGGGGCCGTTGCCGCGCTTTTCACGAAACTCAGTGTTTGACTGCCAAGTGTGGCAAATAAACCAGGTGCCGTACGCAATTGATCAAGGCGGCCTCATATTCCCTGTGGAACTGTTCTTCTGTGAGGTTCCCGTGTCCAACGTCGTCAGCGAGCTCGACGACAGCACCCTGGTGGGGCTGCTGCAGGCGGAGATAAGCATGACAGAGTCCGTCGACGGCATCCGCTTCCCTCGTGAGGCGCTCATTGGCATCTCTGGGTGGATTGTCAGCGAGCCCCACTCGGGAAAGACGCTGCGCGATGCTGGCCTCTGCTACTTCAGCAAGGACGCGGCAGGCGGCGGGATGGCGGAGGAGGAGCAGCTTGTCTGCCGGTTGCCCAACGGGCTCAGGGGCTTCTTGCCGGTGTTGAAAATTGTCGTCAAAGTCTGCATCGAGAGCACCCAAATACACTTTGTGGACTCCGCCATCTTTGTCGACCTCAACCAGATGGTCGATGCGGAGGGGTATTTGCGCCTCAACTCCTCCGGTTCCTTAAGCGCCGCGCTGGAAAAGTCCAATGACGGCGCGCCGTTGCCAAAAGTGGTGATTGGGGTGCTCTTCCTGCGGGACCTGGCTATTTACTTCTCACGCAACTCTGACCCGGAGATGCCGACATTTGGGATGCCGGTAGTAAAAATGGCGGCGTCGAATTTCAACTCGGATGGCCGCATCCCGGGAATGAATGCGTCACGCAAGGAATCCATGGCGTGTGCCCTGCCGAAGAAGTGTGGGAAGGGCGAATTCTACTTTGAGAGTATCAACCGCTGCGGCATCTCACCCAATTGCGGTCGCTTTCTTCCGTACCGGTACAACCCAAATACTCTTCGCTGCGAGGCCAATATAAAACTGATTCTGGCTGTGGCTGTGCTGGGCGCTCTCTTCATTCTGACGGATGTGGCGGTGCTGATGATGCGGCGTAACGTGGGGAAGCTGCTGCGGAGTGCTGCGGAGGAGGAGCTGGCGCATAATTTGCGGTGACTGTGGCACAGGGAAGGGGGAGGTCCAAAGGTTGTGTCCCCTGCGGCCGACGCGTCCGTGGAACGGACTTGACCCTCTGCTTTGCTTTGCTTTGCTTTGCTTTGCCTCCGTTCCACCTTTAGTTTTTATTCGCGTTCATGCCTATGTCTGTGTGTGTGTGTGTTTCGTGCCTACTTTGTAGTGTTGTCTGGTGAGAGCCGCTGGGGGTGCTACAGGCGGAGGGCGGCGCACTCCGCCACTGCGTCTGGACACCTGCAAGCAGCCGTTTGCGCGTGCGCATTTTAATTCACTCTACACATCGTTGTTGTTTGTTTGTTTGTTTCTTTGACGCCCCGATGTCACGTGTTGGATTTGTGTGTTGTGTGTTTCTAGTCCCCTTCTTCGTTTCTCCTTTCTTGCGGGCGTCGCTGCGTGTCAAAATTTGAAGAAAAAGGGGTGGGAGGGCAGCCATGCGACCGCCGGACAACGACGACGAGGACGCACACTCCCCCGGCGACCGCCACCCCCTCTTCGTGGAGGCCGCGTGTCCCCGCGACGACAGCAGCAGCAGCAATAACAATAATAACGGCAGTAGCGGCGGCGGCGGCGGCGGGGAGGATGCGGTGGCGGCCAACGGTGCGGCGTGCGTGCGTGTCCTGGCGGTGGTGCCGTACACCTTCACCTTCAGCGCGCCCGTGAAGGGGCGTTGGCTCGGGCTCCCGCTACTGACGGTGTTCGCGAAGGAGTTTGCGTACATCCCGCCCGTCTCGGCGGGCAACACGCGGCCGCGGGCGAGCCTCGATCCCCGCATCACGATCCCTGCGTACGTGGAGGAGCTCCGCGGCGGCCTTCTTTGGCTGCGTGGGCGGGAGGCGGAGTGCCGCGCCGCCGGTGACGCCTACGCCGAGGAGCTGCGCCGCCTGCGCCTGCCCCTGTGCGCCGCCGCAGGCGCCGAGGCGAGCGGGGAGCCACCCGCAGAAATCGTGGGGACGGGCCCGGACGCGGCGGCCGCGCGGGCGCTGCTGGCCGCCCTGGCGCCACGCCTCCTGCTGCGGCAGAAGGACGTCATCTTGCACCGTGTGCTGCGTCGCGAGGCGCCGATGCCGTACGGAGACCCCCTGCAGCTTCTCCGCTACGACCACGTCCCACGCGGTTCCCCTCCCCGTCGGCTGCTGGTTGTTCGCAAGCCGCACGGCCTCCCGGTGCATCCCTCCGGTCGCTGCCGCAAGAACTCCGTGACAGCCATCCTGGAGGACGTTTTTGGCGGCGTCGACGCCCACCGCTACTGCGCCGTGCCGCTGGAAGGCGAGGAGGACGTGGCACAGATGCGGCCGCCACCAGCGGCCGGCGTGGAATGCGTGGCAATCCGTCACAAGCGGTACGGCTTTGAGCTTATCCGGGTGTGGGTGGGCGACGGCTACGTGGCCCGTGACGCGTGGGAGGAGCTGCGGTCGCTGCTGACGCGGCAGCCCGCGCACGGGCTGAAGGCCTTCGTCGTCCACCGCCTCGACACCGCCACCAGCGGTGTGCTGCTCTTCGGCCTCGACTCCGCCAGCGCCCGTGCGACAGCCGAGCTGCTGGCGCAGAAGGGGCCCGCCGACGACACGGACGCAGCCGCGCCGGGGGTTGGCTGCACAAAGCAGTACCTCGCCCGCGTGCATGGCCGCTTTGACGTCGCCGCACTTGCCGCAACACAACATCACTGCAGCTGCGCCTCCTCCCTCCCTCGCTGTCTGTCGCAAGCGCTCCGTGCCGGCTCGGGGGACTGCGACGACGACGACGGCGACGAGGCCCGGTGCTGGTTACGTGTGGAGCGGCCAATCGGGTGCCTGTCGTACCACGAGAGCCTCTACTGGTGCCCCGACGGCGCGCTCACGCGGTCGTGGCTGGAGGCGCGGGGGGCGCGCGAAAAGCTGCAACCGCAGGGCGCAGCGGCGGCAAAGAGGCAGGCGGCGGGGCGAAAGCGCGGCGCCCACTGTGACGCCGCTGCTTTGGAGGCCAAGCATGAACGCATGCGGCAGTTGACCGTCGGCGGCCGCGCAACGGAAGCAAGCGATGCGGGAATGGGTAGTGATGCCTGCAGGCGCCCGGACGGGGCCGCCGCGGAGCTTCAGACGCAGCGACTGAAGGAAAGTTTGAAACCGGCGGTTACGCTTCTTCGCCTGCTCGCATACGACGCCGCCAGTGACGAGTCCGTGGTGGAGTGTCTGCTGCTCACGGGTCGCACGCACCAGGTGCGTGTCCATTTGGCCTCCGTGGGCCACCCTGTCTGCGGGGACACGAAGTACAACCGCCTCGCTGCTGGCACTCCGTCAGCTCTGTTGCGAGAAGCGCCGCAGGACGAGGCGGGGGATGCAGAGAGTCTCCTCTCGCACGGCATTTGCTTGCATGCCTGGCGCTACACCCTTTGCTACGCGGCGGGTGCGGCACCGGAGGTGCTGGAGGCCCCGCCACCCGCGTGGGGAAGCGTCGCAGGCAACGATGGAGCAGTGCGAGCCGACGCGCGGGCACCGGCCTGCGCCTGAATTCACTGTCGTGGCCGTCCACGTGGATGTGGGTGTGTTTTCTTTTGTTTGTTTGTTCGATGGCGCCGCACGCGTTTCTGCCTGGCTGCAATAACGCGGCAGGGGCAGCCGCTGCCATGCATCGGCCATTTTTACGCCCCCTTTTTTTTTTTCTTATCCCTCTCTATTTCCTTGTCGTCTTTGCGCGTTTCTGCCCTGTCTCCGTTTGACGCTTGCCCGCTGCAGCCGTCAGAAGCGGCCTTCGCTGCGCAATTTCTCTCTTCTCTCCGCCCTCCCTGCCGCACCGACAGTGTGAACGTCACTCGCCCCGCCACAGCGCTCTCCCTCTCGCCAGAGAAATGTCCAGCACGCAGCAGCTCGCATGCACCTACGCCGCGCTCCTCCTCGCCGACGGTGGTAAGACCGACGTCGAGAGCCTGCTGAAGGTGACGAAGGCCGCCGGCGTCGAGGTGAGCAAAGGGATGGCCTCCGCCTTCGCCAGCCTGCTCCGGACCGTTAACGTCAACGAGGTGCTCGCCAACGTGAGCTTCGCCGGTGGCGCCGCCCCTGCCGCCGCCGGTGGCGCTGCTGCTGCCGGTGGTGCCGCCGCCGCCGCCCCCGCCGCCGAGGCCAAGAAGGAAGAGGAGGAGGAGGAGGACGACGACATGGGCTTCGGCCTCTTCGACTAGGCGCATGGACGCTCCAGCTCGGCGGACTGCGCACGCACACAGCATGATTTGTTTTGAATGTTTTTTTTTTTGCGTTATTTATTATTTGAATAAAAAAAAAGCAGATATATTACATGCATGGCGATGGCCTCCGTCGTCGCCTTGTGCGCTGAAGTGGCGCGGGGTTCCTTTTTTTTTGTTGTTGTTTATTTGTTCGCTTCTGGACGAGTGATCACTGTCTTCGCTGCGCGTGTCTTTTAACGCTTGCTTTTGTTTTTGTTTCTTTTTTCGTTTCTTTTTTTTTTCTTTTTGCTTCCCTGCTCGTCTCTTTGCGCGGCTGTCGTTGCTCGTGACGGTGACCGCGTGCCCCGCCGTCCGTCCTTCCGCGTGTTTCTGCGTGTGTGTGTGGGTCGGGAAGAAAGCCATTCGTGAAAGTGCAGGAGCAGCGTGACTCCGCGATGCGTGAGACGGGGAGGGAAAACCAGCGGCCCATGTCGGCAGAGCAGACGCCGACGAGGCCCAAGAGCCCCATTCTCTACACCTCGTACAGCGCCGGGAGCGAGGGGCGCCACACGGACGACCTCTTCCCGCGCAGGGACCGGCGCGTGCTCGTGCTCTACGTGGGCGGGACGATCGGCATGGCGCGGTCGCCGTCCGGCGTGCTGGAGCCGTCCAAGGGGTACCTGACGCAGGCGGTGCGAGGGATGGGGGAGCTGCAGCAGCGGCCGGAAATTGCCCCGTTTGACGTTATTGAATATGATGAGCTGCTCGACAGCAGCGACATGGGGGCGCGCGAGTACCTGCGCATTGCCGGGGACGTGGCCCACTACCACGAAGAGTACGACGGTTTCCTGGTTTTGCACGGGACGGACACGATGCACTACAGCGCCAGCGCACTGAGCTTCCTCCTGATGAATCTCGCCAAACCCGTCATCTTGACGGGCTCCATGGTGCCGTTGTTTGAGCCCTACACAGACGCCCGGCGAAATATGGTGATTGGCCTTATGTTGGCCTCCAACCCCACCATCCGCGAGGTGTGCATTTTCTTCAATGATTGTCTGCTGCGTGGCAACTGCTGCACGAAGCTGCACCACACATTTGGTGCCTTCTGCACCCCGAACTTCCCTCCGCTGGGGGTGGTGGAGTCGACAGGCTTCCACCTCCGCGAGCACCTGCTGCTGCCGCAGCCAAGTGGGCCTCTGCGGGTGCGGTCCAACATGTGCGGAAGCGTGGTGGTCTTCGCGCTCCACGCAGACTGCGACATGAAGCTGCTGAAGCAGCTGCTGACGGAGGACGAGCTTCCCGCCGCGCCAGAGGAATCCCCCACCAAAAACGCCGAGGCTAAAGCCGGGCGTGAGCCGGGTCCCGAGGGCACAGGGCGGGAGGACGCTGGCGTTGAGGGCGGCCAGGAAAAAAGTTCTGCCGCCACCAACGCACCCCGGCGGCCACGGAAGTTGATGGATGCCGTGCTGTTTGAGATCAACGGCGTTGGGGCCACGGACAGCGCGGTCTCCCTGGCGCTGCAGGAGCTGGCAAATGTCGCCAAGGCAAATGATATTGTCCTCTGCGTGACAACGGTGGAGCCCTACGGAAGCCTCTCACCCACGGAGGTTCGCCGACTGCGCAAAATCTCGCCAGACCTCATCTATCTGTACATGACGACGTCCGCGGCGGAAACGAAGCTGATGTATTTGTTTGGAAAGGGTCTCTCGCCGGCCGCCGTGAGAAAAATGATGCCGCGCAACCTCCGTGGTGAGGTCACCCCAGGCGACTCATTTGAGTCTAATTTGTAGGGTAGACATGCATGCACGTCGTCTCTCTACGCCTGGAAAATTTAGAAGACGAACTATGGGATTCAAAGATTGTGTGTGCATGGTTAATGTGTTTCTGTTTTGCGTGTGTATTTTCCTTGTAGTTGCTTTCTTGGGGGCGTTGAAGGTTGTCTTTGTTTTCCTGCTTAGTTGATATTTTTTTTGTTTAATTTGTATTTCTCTCATTATTATTTGCCGTCCTTTACCCCCTAGGCCTTCACTTCGTGTTTGCGCTTTCCCGTCTACGGCCCGCGCCCTTCCACGCAGGTGTGCATGTCTGCCTGCCTTGTTGTCAGGGGTCTGTCGGGGGGGAAGAGAGAGAAAAAGAGGGGGATCGGGGGTGATTGGGAGACGTACGGCAACGCAATAAGTGGAAAACGATGAAAATTTAGCACAATTACGCGCGAGCTTAAGTGGATGTGGGGATGAGGGTGTGAAGGTGTGCATGTTTTGCTTGCGCCTTTTTACAATACAAAGCGAAGGAAGGAGGACAGGTCGGCGCCTGTTTCCTTTATTTCTGTTCTTCCTTGCTTGGGCCGTTGCGGCTTGAGGCATCCCGCCCCTCTTGTAGGCCCTCCTT